CTCTTCCATTGGAAAACAACTAGGTATTGTCCTACTCAAGGATTCGCCTGGTATTTGTTTCCGTTATGTGTACTCACTTAAAACGCGGAAAAAAAGAGCATGGAAAAACATCACTAAATGCGTGAAAGCTCTTTTGTCTACAATATTGTAGCTATTATTTATAGGAAGCATTATATATCCACAATACTACTGTTACATTGCAGATTATATTCTGCTCTGTTGCCACGATTAAATATCCGATGCTAATTTCAAACTATAAATCACGATATTTTGTCGTTCGAGGATACTACATTCGTAGTAAAGATGCTAAGTTCGAAACATATAATGTAAAAAAGTATAGACTGTCTTGATTGTATTGACAATATAATGGCAAAACGAACAGAAACGTACGTCGTCGCACGTTGGAGTCTTAATTATTCTCGGAAGAAAAAAGAAAACGCTAGTTTTCTAAGTCTCTCGTCGAGAAGCGTGCAAACCTGTGAATAACGGTACGACTTTGCTAGCGAACGAAAGCGGAAACGAGTGCTGTACCGAGGGAACGGTTGCGAAAAACTAGCACGGCGTGACTAAGAAGCGCGTTAAAAGCCAAGCTAGTTAAGACTGCTCGTTTGCCGTGCGCGTATTTAAATGACCACGTGGCTTACGATGTATGCGAGCGCGCACGCACGTCTACGTGCGCGAGCAGCTGACACCCGCGATGCGTAACGCATCTGCAGTCGCGATGGAATTACGCGAGATGTACGTTCTTTGTGTGCCGATCGAAGAGGAAGCTCGAGAAAGAAACAATCGAAAACTGCAAACCACTAGGATTTTTCCTACAAACATGAAGATAAGTTTTTCTCTATTAAAAATATTAATGCTTTATAAGAATATTAACTCACATACTATTATTAATAAAAAATAGTATCAATTAAATGTACTTTTTTATCTCTTATCTCGTATCAAAATCTTGTATATATTCAGACCTCATATAATGGAATATTTTTAAAAAATAAATGAGATTATGATAAGCAATTCGATACAACTATGATAAAATTAAAGCAATAAATGCGCTATCTATATTACATTATATTTTTATCTTTAAAGTAAACCGTGTACAGTCTTGTATATAGTCGCACTAAATATAAAAATCACTTACTATGTATAAATATATGTATAAAGTATCTCGTGACCCGCATATATAACGATCTTATAAACGTTTCTCATTTATCCGGCATTTCATGTTAATGTTTAAGATAGAAATCAACAACTCTCCAGCGTTAGATATAAGCGGCCTTCGTGTTACAGATACCGTCATGTTTTCTCATGGCATATATTTCGTCATTATTTTATTTATTTTTTTCTATACTTATTTTTATTTATATATATATTCATTGATCCGTTTAGTTTCGATTGTACGCGGGAATATCTTTGGATGCAATTGCGATAATATTTAATTTTCACATCGCGAATATATATATATATATATATATATATATATATATATTCTGAATTTTCATGGAGAAAAATTTCCATTAACAAAGTGAGAAATTCTCATGAAGGCAATTTTCATCACAGAAGCAGAAATGGTTTTTTGCTTTCTAGCAGCGGTCTTTCGTTTCACGTCATAGTTAAATCACGCTATACGTATTGGTAGTCAATACAAACACAAACGAACAGTCACATTCGGCGCTAATTGAGGGACGAGAATACGGAATACATGGTAAGTTGATTCTTGTAACGATCGGATCTCGCGCTTCGCGAGAACAAAATGAAGCTGCAGACGTCGAAGTCGGAATCGCGAAGCGGCTGTATCACTGTCACTACATAATGGCATTTGTTTCTAGGCAGTCTATTCACGGTACATTGCACTTTGCCGAGTACACCGGCTGCCACGCATGCGCCTGGCTGTGTACCGGGTGACGGATCTCAAGCCGGAAACACGGTGACACAATATTGTCACTTCCACGAGAGAAATCCTCGCTTCGCTCGCGTGATTTTCGATACAGTCGGCGCGTTTCCCAGTGACAAAGTCTGAAATGTACGAAATTCGAGTGACGAACAAAAGATGCTAAACGCGATAGTTCGATTCGCTATACGTATATTTGTACAAGATATAATAAAATAAATAGATAACGATCTCTCGAAATAAATTATTCTGGACAAAATTCTACAATGAAGCCGCTATTATTGCATGTCGGCTTGGCTCCCGAATTAATGGAGCACAATGCCCCTTATGGACTAACGAACGATCCCCCTCCGCCGTAGCCAAATTTCGGAACAAATTGTAATAGGTTCCGCACAAAGGAAGCGCGAGCTACGTTTTCAAGAGGGAGAGCTCGGCTTTGCGCGTTCCGCTTCGTTTCATCCCTATTTCCACCTGGATTATCGAATCAGCGGAATAATTCGTAACTTCAGCAGCTAACAAGAATAATGGAAGATACGAAATCGTACCTCTCTCCTCTCCTCCTCCGCGATCAATTTATTCGTGTGTGGCTTTTTGGAAGTCTTATACGTCGGAAGAATCATCGTCGAGACACCGCGATAAAAATAGAAAACAGGAGATATAATTAACGTCTAATATATTAGATAGCTCAGCAG